GGATAAGACCACCACCACCGGATAAGAACACCACCACCGGATAAGAACACCACCGCCGGATAAAAACACCACCACCGGATAAGAACACCACCACCGGATAAGAACACCACCACCGGATAAGACCACCACCACCGGATAAGACCACCACCACCGGATAAGACCACCACCACCGGATAAAACCACCACCACCGGATAAGACCACCACCACCGGATAAGACCACCACCACCGGATAAGAACACCACCACCGGATAAGAACACCACCACCGGATAAGACCACCACCGGATAAGACCACCACCACCGGATAAGCCGAACAGTCGGCCGCACAACCGGACGCCGCCATCTTATCTGCCAGGAACTCTGCCCCCCGGACACCTTTGGGAAAACCCCTTAGAGAGGAAAAAATTGCCATAAGCCTGTCCTGTCGTCCTAGGGCACAACGGCCGTCTTTTCTCAGGACACATATACGACCTGGGGGTAGGGGAGAGAGGGGGAAAGGGGAAAGGTGGAAGGGGGCTGGGGGAAAGGTGGTAGGGGGCTGGGGGAAAGGGGGTAGGGGGCTGGGGGAAAGGGGGTAGGGGGCTGGGGGAAAAGGGGGTAGGGGGGGCTGGGGGAAAGGGGGTAGGGGGGCTGGGGGAAAGGGGTAGGGGGCTGGGGGAAAGGGGGTAGGGGGCTGGGGGAAAGGGGTAGGGGCACACGGAGAGGGGAAAATGGGGTCCAGGACCTCGTTAACAAGGAAAACCACCATTTAAAAAGGACACAAACTTCTTTAAATCGGAACACTTGATAGCAGACGATGAGTTACAATAACGTGGCTGAAGATATGATGACCCAAATCATACACCAGAAGATGATGAGACCACGACGTTTCGGTCCGTCCTGGACCATTAGCAAGTCGTATGTGTACTGATAATGGTCCAGGACGGACCGAAACGTCGACGTCCCGCCATCTTCTAGTGAGTGGTTTGGTTATCTCAGCAGAGCAATACTAATTAGTACCGCACGATAATTCCACGAAGACCTTGAAACAGCGGCATTTTCACTCATCGTAGACCTGCAGGCTACTCATCTTGAGGTTATCTTGAGATGATTTCAGGGCTAAGCGTCCCCGCGGCCCGGTCCTCGACCAGGCCTCTTTTTTGTTATACATCCCCAGGAAGCAGCCCGTAGCAGCTGTAACTCCCAGGTACCTATTTACTGCTAGGTGAACAGGAGCATCACGGTGAAAGAAACTGCCCATTTGTTTCCGCCTCCACCGGGAATCGAACCCGGAACCTCAAGACTACGAATCCCGAACGCTTTCCACTGTTTCATAATTTTCTAGAAAGATACACAAAAACAATATATATAAATGTTGGATACAACGAAGTTCGATGTATTAAGCAGATTAACAACATCAGGTATGTTAGGAACATGTCTCCTACTGCTGATGAATAGTACTAAATTCAAATTAAACCTATTTAGGTTAAGTTAGAATAGGTTATGTAAATTTAAACATGCTTAGATCAAGCGAGATTATACTGTTTAGCTCGTCTGCAAGATATTAATTGTGTACATCAGTGTCTCTCACGCACACGCACACACACACACACACACACACACACACACACACACACACACACACACACACACTACTGCCACATTGGAGCCCATTGAAACGCATTGCGTAATAGTGGCTTTAGGCATTGTATGTACTAGCTCTATCTATATATCAATCCATTAATGTAACATCACTTGTATGTATGTATGTACCTTACCTGAATAAACATATTTATTTATATTTATTTATATTTATATATATATATATATATATATATATATATATATAATATATATATATATATATATATATATATATACATATATATATATACACACACATATATATATATATATATATATATATATATATATATATATATATATATATATATATATATATATATATATATATATATATATACGACAAGTGTCAGACCACAGAGGAAAATTGAAACGAATTTCCTTAAGTACTTTCGTATATTAATACATCTTCAGAAGGAGTCCATATATATTTCGTATTAATATACAAAAGTACTTGAGGAAATTCCTGTTTCAGTTTTCCTCTGTGGTCTGACACTTGTCGTATATATATATATATATATATATATATATATATATATATATATATATATATATATATATATATATATATATCTTACCCTTTTTCTCCAGCAGACTGGGACACAAACAATGTCACACTAAAGACATATTAATAAGCCTATCTGCGTTGCTTTTTTGGAGAGCGCGAGAAATAGCTGATGTGGAGGGCCGGTGGAAGGAATTACCCGTGGCAACAAAAGGCTACACCATCCAGCGTGTGAAACAGATTAAAACTGCAACAAATCCTCTTCATTAGTTGAAATCCGTAAAGCATATTAGCCTCATTTTTATACCTTTTAGGTAAGAACAACAAGTGAATGTATTACCGAAATCTTCATTGTTCGTCAGGAGAATTTTCTTGACATATCCATTAGAGATAATTAGAGACAAAGTTTTTAATCTGCCGCTTGAGCGGTAATCAAAAGCTGTGGAGACAAGTGTCCTTTAACTAGTCTAAATTCCCATTACGAGGTGAATAGATGAAGTTAGAAGAAAGATCACCGTAGAGTTTGCGATTGGTTGAGGGCGTGACATATGGGAGGAGCTTGGTGACGTGACGTGTTCATTAGCCAATCATCAGCAAGTCCAAAAGTGGACGGGTGGCCAAATGGGACGGACAAATTAGCCTAGAAATATATAGACCACGCCCAGTAATAGCCACGCCCACAAGCATACTCGCCTTCAACAATGCCCACAAACAAATACGCCCACAAACAACCACGCCCACTAACAGCCACGCCCACAAACAGCCACGCCCACTAACAGCCACGCCCACTAACAGCCACGCCCACAAACAGCCACGCCCACTAACAGCCACGCCCACTAACAACCACGCCCACTAACAGCCACGCCCACTAACAACCACGCCCACTAACAACCACGCCCACTAACAGCCACGCCAACTAACAGCCACGCCAACTAACAACCACGCCCACTAACAGCCACGCCCACTAACAACCACGCCCACTAACAGCCACGCCCACTAACAGCCACGCCCACTAACAGCCACGCCCACTAACAGCCACGCCCACTAACAGCCACCCCCACTAACAACCCCGCCCACAAACAGCCACGCCCACTAACAGCCACGCCCACTAACAGCCACGCCCACTAACAGCCACGCCAACTAACAGCCACGCCAACTAACAACCACGCCCACTAACAGCCACGCCCACTAACAGCCACGCCCACTAACAGCCACGCCAACTAACAGCCACGCTTACTAACAGCCACGCCCACTAACAGCCACGCCCACTAACAGCCACGCCCACTAACAGCCACGCCCACTAACAACCACGCCCACAACAGATGAGGTTCGAACACTTTTCAATCAGTGCTTCGCTGACGAACTCTGTAACTGCTACACCCACGTAACATGTCGGAGGCCATGTCGAGGACTGGGCCGCGTGGACGTTGAGTCCCGAAATCATCGCAAGGTAACGTATTTGAAATGCAAATAATCGCCAATGGAACTTGAACACGTAAGCTAATCTACGTTAAATACGGAGAAATATAACAATAACAATATCAAATATATTTATGAGAAGTAACCTGTTTTTAATGCACAATATGTTGCAATGGATCAATTGTGTCTTGGGGGGGGGGGATGGGCCGCAGCTTTAACGAGCCTCGGCCACGAATGACCTCGTAGATATACGCATCTACGTACATCTTTTTTTTATAAAGTTTGGCGGCTTTGATTACATGTATTAAACAGTTTATGAACTCCGATTCGCCAGGAAGTCGTTTATACCAATAACAACAGTTGACTGGAACGTTTCGGTGCTTGTAAACTGTTTAATAAATGTAACCAAAGTCGCCACATATTGAAGAAATGATAAGAGATTCGAAGGTAGTTTGGCAAATGCTTAGTGAGTAGCCCTGACCTGAGAACAGAATGAGTGTTTGTTGATTTAATGACTCAACTGCTTACCCCTAATACCCCCCCCCCCTACGAACTAGTCCTGCCACCCACATTCCGCCGCCCCATAGTGGAGCTGAGGTATGCCGAACCAGCCTGGACCCCCACCTAAATACACAAGAAATCCAGAATGTTTTCACATATCCATACATTAAAACATTGATTGTAACCGTGATATATATGTGCTTCAGCCTACAGTTTAGACCTATTGTCTTATGTATGACCCTCTGTCCTGCGTGACAGTGAATACCAGCATTATCCTCACTTTAATAGGACTATCAAAATCCTCAGATTAGGCAAAATTGTATTTATTTTTGTCAATAAAGATGTTAATAATAAAGAAATCCAGAAATGGTTCAGAACTTTGTAACGTGACTCGTCTCTGAATTACGAGGATGAGGTACACGAGAATGAATGATGGTCTTCCAACGGTCACATCACAGATATAAAGGTTACACCTAGAAATCACAATTGCGTGATGCATCAAATGAACAAGTCCACAAGGGCCGTGACGAGGATTCGAACCTGCGTCCGAGAGCATCCTCGAGAGCTGGGATGCTCTCGGACGCAGGTTCGAATCCTCGTCACGGCCCTTGTGGATTTGTTCATAGAGGTCTTTAGAACACACATACAGCTTTAGTATGACCAACTTGAGTATTATTTAAGTAGAATTCATGTAATGAATTGAAATTTTCAACATGAATAATGAAAACGCATGAATTGACCAGGTGATGGAAGGCCGGGCTAGGGAGCTACAACGCGACCCTATAAATGAACAAATCCCCAAGGGCCGTGACGAGGATTCGAACCTACGAATCCTCATCCCAGACGCTGCCTTAATCGACTGAGCTACGACATGGTCAAAAAAACCCTATAAACTCACCTGAACACATCTAGACGAGCACCTGTAGCCAGAACACGCCACATGGTGGCGTCACTCAGGTGTTCTTACAAGCGAGAACACACACACCAATCGTGTGCGTCTTTAAACATACCTGGAAAAAAAGAAGGAGGGTTTAAAATTACTTATATTTTTAATTAATCTGCAATTAATTTCTATTTTAATTATATCATGTTCTGCATCGGTGGAGCTAATGCCGCGCTCAGCAGTGATAGCAATAATTATTTACTGTAGTAATATTAGTTATGATACTAACAATAATATTAATGCATTTGAAATAGTCAAGAGAAAAACTTAAACAGGAAATCTATGTACGTTACACAAACACACATTACATATATACATATTATATATATATATATATATATATATATATATATATATATATATATATATATATATATATATATATTATATATATATATACAATTATATATATATATGAGGTGGTCAGAGCACTGTGTACGTTTAAGATGGGGTGATCCTGACGGCATGGGTTCGAATCCTGGTTGGGTCATTTAGAGTTCTTAGTGATCTATGGCTTGCGCGTTCCTGCACACACACACACACACAAATAGGTGAATACCACACACACACACATTATATATATATATATATATATATATATAATATATATATATATATATATATATATAATATATATATATATATATATATATATATATATATATATATATATATATATACGTAACAAAAAATCTTATCGGGAACCACAATTATAGTTCCATTAAATCGAAGGTAAAACGGAAATCATCATATAACTAATTATGACACGCCAAGTTCAGGTTAAGGTTAAAGTGCCAGGACAAGTGAGATCACCTATTAAACCACCCATTTCCAACTTCCTCCCACATATCTGCCAAGTTGTAATTACCAAAATCAGCTCCACAACTATTTTCACCCAGACGAAACACTAACAAAAAAACGCTTTTATTTGCTTTTAAGTCCTCAACGGGCTCACCATAGCCCGTGCTGCTTGGAATGTCTTGTTCTAGGTAGCGAATCTTTAACAATTTGTTCTAAAGTTTTTTGTTGAAATTGAAATTGAAATAAGTTTATTGAGGTAAAATACACACAAAGGGATGAGGTAGCTCAAGCTATTCTCACCCCATTCAGTACAACGTGTTAATATATACATAGACACACATCACAAATAAACATTACCAAACATTCTGAGAGGTAAACATATACATTTCCTCCTTCACAAGTAGTATGGTATCAGACGTACACACAAATACTTTTATGAAGATTTTTGTTATTGTTTTGTAAACAACGTTGCAAGAAGCGACGTGGAGTTTTGTCCTTGTCAAGCAGTGACCCGCAGCGACCTCTCACCGAGGCATAAATCAAAGAATCCCAGCATGGCCTCCACAGGGAGCGTTTAATGCATTATATAGATTACCCCGGCGGCGTTCAGGGCCTTATAAACACTCCCTCACCTTTGATCTTTGCACGTTAATCACGTTTGGGTACCTATCAGGGACCCAGGCCAGGAGGATGGGCTAGAGGTTGACGAGGAAGGTCGTGGCGAGGCCTGCTGGATGGATGGTTATCTTGAGTTGATTTCGGGCTTTTAGTGTCCCCGCGGCCCGGTCCTCGACCAGGCCTCCACCCCCAGGAAGCAGCCCGTGACAGCTGACTAATTCCCAGGTACCTATTTACTGCTAGGTATATCTTGAGGTTATCTTGAGATGATTTCGGGGCTTTTAGTGTCCCCGCGGCCCGGTCCTCGACCAGGCCTCCACCTCCAAGAAGCAGCCCGTGACAGCTGACTAATTCCCAGGTACCTATTTACTGCTAGGTAACAGGGGCATAGTGAAAAACTCTGGCTGATACCTGGTTGATCATTGATCAACCTCTGCCTGATAACTCTGCCCATTGTTTCTCGCCGGCGCCCGGGATCGAACCCAGGACCACAGGATCGTCCTTTCAACACCAGACTATAATCAAGAGTACCAAAGTACTCGCAGACTGGGGAATCCTAACGATTCAGAGGCTACAAGACAATACACTCCACTCACTAGAAAGTGAAGGGACGACGACGTTTCTCAATCGACTTGAGAATGGTCCAGGACGGACCGAAACGTCGTCGTCCCTTCACCTTCTAGTGTGTGGTCTGGTCAACATACTTCAGCCACGTTATTGTGACATGTCTGTCTGTCTGTCTGTCCCGAGAGAGAGACATGTAGAGCCATACACCTGTATTCATACACCTGTATTCATACACTTGTTTTCATACACCTGTATTCATACACCTGTATTCATACACCTGTATTCATACACCTGTATTCATACACCTGTATTTATACACTTGTATTCATACACCTGTATTCTGGATCACTTCCTTCCACCACAGAAAACGAATCATACGATGTTGTTGTTTAAAATTCGCTACCTGGAACAAAATGCTCCAAGTAGCACGGGCTATGGTGAGCCCGTAAATCATACGAGTGTATAGCGAGTACACAGTCAGGATAACATCCAGTCCTCGCAATGATTTTGGTTATCATTATGCACAATGATAACAAATACAGAGTTCACGCTTCAAGTACACGGTAATCGCGATGACAAGGAAATGACAAAAAAGTCTACCAGCAGACACGGCGGCAGCGGCAGACATGGAGTCTGTCGCTGGAAATAAAGATATCAACAACAAAGGCATCATAGAATTTCGATTCAACAAATGGTCATTAATTACCAATAATCTTGTTTGCACACGCTCGCTCAGTCGTAGGTCAATATAGACCAAATTGATAAAACTGGAGAAAACAGAGACTAATATATATACATTAATATTATATATATATATATATATATTATATATATATATATATCTATATATATATATATATATATATATTACACACATACTGTAAGGGTATGGCCTCCAACTTTGGACAGAGGAGGAGGTGGGACCTGCTGCATGGGTACAGCTTCTCCCCCGTATCAACCTACCCAGGCTTTGCGCCCTGGAGAGGCCACTCCAGACCGACAACCCGTCCTCTCCATGGACCTGCTGCATGGGTAACAGCTTCTCCCCCGTATCAACCTACCCAGGCTTTGCGCCCTGGAGAGGCCACTCCAGACCGACAACCAGTCTCTCCATAGTCTCCCGAGACTGATGGACTACTACTACTATATGACAGAACCTCTGTCCAAAGTTGGAGGCCAGAAGTTCGTGGCTAGACTCTCACAAATATGCAAA